CACAAAGGCCTCCTTTTTGACAAGATCAACACCTATAAAACCAAAATCTAGACAGTCTTGAGATACTGTCAAAGGTAAAATATTCTTTGAGGTGTTGTTGAATTCTTTGTGCTGTTCAACAATCGAGGAAAATAAAGGATGTTGGCACTAAAAAGTAGCATTCAAAAACAGCTCAAGTGATGTTAACTGCCTCAAAATATGCAATAAACTGTTATCACCTGCCAAAAGCAATGACAGTTGCCAGATACTTCTGATCTATAATGGATAAAAAGCCGTGTTCCTATAAACGAAAAAGTCGCTAAAAGTCGTGTTCTATAAAAGTCGTGTTCCTCCAACAAAATTTGCTTAACTGGCCAGGAAATATCTATCATAGCCACGTAGTTACATGTAGAAGATAATTCAAAGTTCAAATATAAATTCACTATTCGCTGAATATATGCCAGTATTTATAATAAAATTAAAAGTTCAAGCCGTAGATCTTTAGTATACACTGCACAAAATGAAATCTGCTTCATTAAAATTTATACAGCAGTCAATAGACATAAACCACTACTATTTCGAAGTCATTCCTACTACTTCGTCAGTAAAATGGCAAGTTACTCAACAGCATTTTTATACAACATTAAATAAAGACAACATGGTATAAACAACAAATGAGTTTTAATAGGTAGAAAGTTTATTCAATGACGTAATAAATTTTTATTTTGATTGGCTCAAAATCAACAGTAATCACTTATTGTCGATTTCAGTTAAAGGACAATGGCAATGAAATTTTTTTCGTACGTTTGTCATAGATAGCTATGGAATACTTAATTTCGTGTTTTCGTTTCTCTTTTGAGTTTTGCTGTTGAGAAAATTTGACATAAAGTTGAATCCTTATCCGCCATTTTGGAAAAAAACGTTATGCTAAATTATGCCGGAATAGATTACTGACGTCATTGGCTGGTATCAACTGAATGACACAATATAAAATAATAGTATAATAATAATATACAGCACATTTGTTCACTGGAATTTTAAAACAAAAACAATAGTCGGCGGTTGATAAGATTAACAAAAGTTATGTAGTTTATCACGTTTATATACTTTCCAATTTGTGATGCACACGAACGGCCGCAAACGCTGAAGGGGTACGAGACAAGAGGGGCAGAGCGTTGCTTCCTTCGGGCCCTCTTCTCGTTGATGGCGGCTGCTCTACCGGCTTCGAAGTTCCGAACGCCTTGGGAGCATAGATGCCTCCACTGCAGTCTACCTCCCGCGAACTCCTCCCAGGTGTTTGGGGCTATGTTGCAGCTCTTGATGTTGGCTTTAAGGGTGTCTTTGTATCTCTTCAGCGGTCTTCCTTGGACACGGCTCCCGTCTTGTAGTTGACCATAAAGCAGCATCTTTGGGATTCTGCTGTCATCCATCCTTACGACATGGCCTGTCCATCGGAGTTGAGCTTTGATGATCAAGCTCTCAATCCTGGGGAGTCCACATCTTTCAAGGACTTCAAGGTTGGACACTTTGTCCTGCCACTTGATGCGGTGGATTTTTCTCAGGCAGCGCTGGTGGAACTGCTCCAGCTGTTGTATGTGCCCGCGATAAGTGGACCAGGTTTCACAGCAGTACAGCAGAACACTCAGGATATTTAGTCGTTATAAGACGTAGAAACGTTTATTTTAGCAGATCTTACAACTAGGCTTTGGCGACATACCAAGTGTAAGCCCAGACAGCAATAAGCGTGTTTTGTACACTGAACATTTCGTGCAATAGAAATATTTCATTTTCCCATATTACAAACCTGTGACCAACAAAGAGTTATACGTTTAATTTATTATTTATATACATAAGACTCTGCGAGATTATGTAGTTTTATATAGGTGATAAGCTATAAGCCGTTATGTTTTGTTCATGACTGTAGAGTTGCGTTTATTCGTAATGTTTTACGTGCGTGTTTGCGTGCACAATGTACAAGTACACTTTTCTATTAACTTTACAACTTATGAATGAATACAAGTTTTGGGTGGATCACTCATGCATTTTGCTTTTGCGCAATTCGTGACAATCCTTCGACAATGATATGGCATCGCAATTGCAGATCATAACAAAGAACATCAAAGAGCGTCTGTCTAAGACTTTAAATTTACGGTCTTTCGTGATAATATGCGTATTTAAAATGTGTATAAACTCCGTCAGATGACGCGAAGCGTTTTCTACGGTGGCCCGTATCTGCAATTCACAAATTAATTTGTCAATGTACAAACATTCCCTTAAATTCAAAACAATATATTTGATACAAAAATAATGTGCTGAATGCAAAATGATTTTGTTTGCGATGCAAAACACGAACAATGCAAAACAAATTTGATCGCAATGCAAAACAAATTTGATCGCAATGCAAAAACAAATTTGATCGCAATGCAAAAACAAATTTGATCGCAATGCAAAAACAAAGTTACCGCAACCCAGAATTTTGCACTGTACTGTGGGCGGCAATATGTCGAATATTTAATAGAGTGGGACAGTGTATATTAGATTTCTTTCGAAAATATCTGCGTTGGTTTGTAATGTTTTGCTGAATTTCACCAGGAATGTATTGTCCATTTTGCGGTCAAAATATTCAGGTCACATTCCAATATTGCCCATTTTGCGGAAATCACTTACAAGGCTTTCGAAACGCGGAGGAACAAATCCCTGGAGGAGACGATACGTGTGACGAACTAATCGCGCATTATTTCAGAGAAGGCTTTGCATACGAGAAGATTATGCAATTCCTTGGCAAGTTTCACGGCATTAACATCTCCTTACGAACACTTAAATTCAAGCTAAGATCTCTTGGTCTTCGTCGAAGGAACAAGGAGTATGATTTAAGTCTAATTCGACAACGAATACAGCACGAGCTTGATGGACCAGGTTCTTCAGCTGGTTATCGCTCTGTGTGGCATACCTTGCAACGGGAAGGTTACCAAGTGCCCAGGGAAACGATCAGGGTTTTTGTTAATGAGTTGGATCCTGATGGCGTGAGGGAAAGGCAGGGCAAAACCCTTAGGCGAAGAACTTACCACAACCCAGGTCCCAATTATGCTTGGCATGTTGATGGCTATGACAAACTTAAGCCATATGGCTTCCCAGTGCATGGATGCATAGATGGATATGGCCGAAAAGTTTTATGGCTTAAAGTATGCAAAACAAATAACAATCCTGCTGTTACAAGTCAACACTTCCTGGATGCTGTTAAGAAGTATGGTGGATGCCCCACATTGTTGAGAACAGACAATGGGACTGAAAATGTCATAATGGCAGCAATGCAAACTTATTTTAGAACTAGTGGGGATGATGAGATGGCAGGTATCAATGCTCATCGGTATGGTTCCTCTCAGTCAAACCAGCGGATTGAATCTTGGTGGGCATTTCTATGAAAAATCGCTCGAACTGGTGGATGAATTTTTTAAAGATATGATTGAGACAGGGCATTTAAATACATCAAGTGATCTAGACAAGGAATGTTTGTGGTATTGCTTTGCCAATTTATTACAAGAAGATCTAACAAGCGTCAAGCGTAATTGGAACTCCCACTACATCCGTAAGTCAAGGTTTGACACAGTTGCTGGAAGACCAGATGAACTTTACTTTCTCCCTGAATGCAATGGTGCACAAAATTATGCAAAGCAAGTGACTGATGCTCAATTTCAAGATATGTCTCAATATTGTCATGAGTATATGGAAGAAAATGTTATTCAAGAATATTATTGCACCATTGGAAATGAACTTGGTATGTCTCAACCAACACATTGGAGAAGAGCATTGAAATGTACCATATCTTACGTGGAATTGCCCAAAGCTGAATTTAAATTTTTGAAAAAAAATTTTTGAATTTAAATTTTTTTTTTAATTTTTTTTTTTTTTGGCACACCATTTGTAAATAATGTCTGTAACATAACTCTGCAAAGTTTAACTAAATCCCCAAAACAAGGGACACATTGTTATTCTTCCTCACAATTTACTAAATATTCCTCCATTCATTAAAGCTGTCAGCAAGCAATGGGCCAGGCTACAATCTAGTGTCTTCTTGTTCACATACAAATGCAATGAGTTGGAACAGGTCTGAGCTGATGGTATCATCTTGCCATCATCATGAACAAATGTGATTGTTGGTTTAGGTACAAAGCCAATAGTAGGTACGTTGGTTGCACCAGTTGCAAATAGAAGAATATGCTTAGGAGTTGCTTCAGAAGCAAAGCGCTCCTCTTCTTCTGTCAACTCGATTCCTTCATCATGTAAGTTTCCCAGCAAACTTCCATCTATTAAATAGTAATATGTAATACATATCATATGACACAGAAATATACAGAAAAAGACACTTATTAAATCTGCCATTGCAAAAGCAGATGCTTCGATCTGGGACAGATCACATTGTCACTCACCTTCCATGGACTTGATGAAGGCGATAAATTTAGCCATTATTATTTCTTGTGGTTCTCTAAGATGGTGACCAATTGGAGAAAAATTAGGTTTCATGATTTTTATCAGCTTGCTGCCATCCATCTTTTCCTCTGGATTGTACTGGAATAAATAGTTTGCCATTCCTTTATTAGCACGGACCAGTTGCAAAACCTTTGAATAGGAAAGGCATTTTACTTATAGTATATAGAAATCAATAATTAATACTATTGCAATATTCAGTGCTAATATCTGCTGTGTATATTATTCAATGTATTAACCAATAATACATGACTAGCATTAGTTTCTCTGTTTTGCTTTGTTTTACATAATACCCCAAAGTGCTACTACTATAACACTATTATGGAGGCAGGCAAATAAAATAAAATTAAACTAAACTTTGAATTAAATATACGACACCACATACATCATAATAATTGAGGCCTTCAATGAGCTGATCAAGCATTGGTTTGCATTTTGTGATGATGAAGTATTTGGTGACCTCCTCAATGAACATCAGCTTATCTTTAATTAGGAGGGTTTGGGACAATCCATCAATGTCATATCTCCACTCACTCTCAGCCAAAAAAAGAATCAACACCCCCTTGATCCTTTGCAGCTTTCAGCTATAGTAATAATGAAAACAATTGTTGCCAAAATTGTTTAAAAAAAAATTAAGTTTCAAAGAATTTAAGTGTCAATAAAAATTGGCAAATTGGTTTCTGCCATGTGATGTCGAACATTTGATACCTTTAAAAGAGAATCTCTAATGTTCTTGTCAGGTAGCTCATCTATATCTGGTGTACAGCTGCCAAACCCTGCCTCAATATATTGGCAAACAGATTTGCTAAATATTCGTGGCAATTCTCCACCTTGCACAACAAGTGTAGCCAACATGTGTCCAACAGCCAAAAATGTTCCTTGATTCAAGGCTCCAACATTGCAGCAAATTACACAACCTGTTGGCATGCCTACAGAAAATTTATATTTAGCCAATAAAAATAAAGTGGCACACTCTACAACCAGGCTACAGACTGAAATGAAATCAAAACTTGAAATTTAGTACACAACATTTCCAAGTCAAGAACTTTAATTCATAACTTACTACACATTATTCCACTGTCTCGTGCAATAGCTCCAAGAAGTAGATGGAAGAATTCTCTTCTTGGGCCACTTTGATCTACGGCATCTTCCTCCTCTTCAAATGTAGCAAATGATACTTTCAAAATGCCAGAGAACTAAGGAAGCCTTTCCTTCTAAAATATGGTAGCGCAGTTCGCCATATGCTTAATCGGCTAACAACAATGTTTCGAGGGTCTCCTTGAATTTTGTTTGCTGCATGCTCTTTAACTGCATTCAAGAAACCATCACTTGTGAGAATTTCAAGGTCAGTGATAGCATCACCAACTGCATCTTCCACATCGACATGCATAGACAAGCTATTACGTATGGCCTGTTGCACAGCAGCATTCTCATCAACTCCAACTGGTCTAATAACAAAAGATTTCATAGATTTAATACAACCAACAGTGATTGCTTTATACACAATAAAGTAGTAAAACTTAGTCATATTACATGTTACACTTACAAAAAGTCCGTCAAAGCATAGGATGTTGCAACAGCTTCCCCAGACCCATTTCCACTGGATTCTGGAGATACTGCCAAATTTCCATTACAATTTTCAGGCACTTCTTCTTGTAATTCACTATTGAGGTCCAAATCGTCGTTTTCGGTAAGTAGATCAGTGATGAGTACATCATTCGCTCTCACTTTCTGTTTTGGTGCTACAGGGCAAAGGTACAAACTTATTCTTGAGTACGCTTTCCCAAGTTCTTCTTTGTACTTGCCCATCACGAATTCTTCGTCCCCACCAGGAATTGTTCGTGCCAATTGACCATCTGGGTAAACAAGTACGTAACCTCTATCAGGGCAAAATGTTCTATCATAGTTAGCCCATTCGGTCAAAGATCTTTTAACAACTTGATCATACACCATGTCCGGTGTCACCTTCACAGGAAATGTTTTACCAAAAACCCGTCTTGGCGTATATGAATCATCGTGGTCGTATTCCATTAAACCTACTGTTATAAAACATCAGTATTTTTCGTGATGTTGCAGAGCGTGACTTTTTCCTCTTGGGCTCAAAATGCGACCGTCGTTCAGCCTCCTTGTTCTTCATGAAAGTAGACAAACTTGTACAAGATGAAGACGTGTTCGACGAAGTGGGGGAGTTCCCAGTCGAGTGAGTCACACAAGGTGATTTAACAGAGCTGCTTGAAGGCTCAGAGGTTCCATTGGATTTTTCTTTCCGCAATTCGGGCAAAGAGAAACGACGTCTCCATTCCATGTCCACAAAAGCAGCAAAACATTACAAACCAACGCAGATATTTTCGAAACAAATCTAATATACACTGTCCCACTCTATTAAATATTCGACATATTGCCGCCCACAGTACAGTGCAAAATTCTGGGTTGCGGTAACTTTGTTTTTGCATTGCGATCAAATTTGTTTTTGCATTGCGATCAAATTTGTTTTTGCATTGCTATCAAATTTGTTTTGCATTGCGATCAAATTTGTTTTGCATTGTTCGTGTTTTGCATCGCAAACAAAATCATTTTGCATTCAGCACATTATTTTTGTATCAAATATATTGTTTTTGAATTTAAGGGAATGTTTGTGCATTGACAAATTAATTTGTGAATTGCAGATAAGGGCCACCGTAGTTTTCAAAGTTTCAAGCAGGAAATGGTCTTCGATGTTTATTCCCTAAAATTTGAAAAATCCACCTAGAACATCTTTGATATGCGACTAATCGATACAGCTTGTGTATTCTCGCCAGCTCCTCATCAGACAGGGGCCAGTTTTTTCTAGATACCGACACACGTCTATCTCTAACACACTTTCTGACAGCATATTGTCCCTAAATTCTTGGTGTGTTGTCAAGCAATACTCTCCTTGAGTTTCTGTTTGGCCTAGCAAAGCCTCATACTCATCGTATTCAAGTGCTTTTTCGTGGCAACAAAAACACTCGATTGCCTTTTTTGGCAAAGTACAATGTCCACACTTACACCAACTAAGAGTATGAAGGCGCCAAGCATTTGCTTTCTCAAATTCAGCATGTATTTCATCCTCCGACGAGGACAAGTCGCTCTGCTCACTCTCCTGTTCGGAACCGCTTTCTTCACTTGTTTCGGCCTTCATTTCAGGTTCATATTGAAGGGGCAGAACTTAGCCCGGTTGATTTTCGTGTATGTCATCCATTACAGCAAAAAACCCCGTAAAATATGCTTTAAATGTGTTGTAACGCAGTCAATCACAAAGTATATTGTATTGTTGTTTTGACTGCCTACCGGCCAAGACGTCACTACCGCTCGAGATAATTTTATCAAAATTTTATCCAAGATCGCGAAATTTATAAACTTTTGCTGCAAATATCTCAGCAATAAAATATTTTTGGAAAAAAATTTTGCTATTTTAGTTTTTAGACATTACAAAGGTTCAAAAATATGCCATAAAAATTTTCGTTGCCAATGTCCTTTAAGTTTTCAAATGGCGGTTGCCAAGCTACTTTCTAATATTGCCAATTACATTTCCAAATATGGAATGTTCGTTATGAACTTGTCAACTTAAGTTCACAAGTTTTGTACTTGAGTACTGAAGTTGTGAACTAAGTTGCGAAGTACTAGCAAACGCGAAAGTTCTTTGTACCCTGTAGACATTTGGCAATGAATCCGTTCAGTAAGCAAGGAAATCAAGCAATTCTAATCCGTTTGACGGCCCTCTAAGAGTGCCACATGTAATAAATTTACAGTAAATGTGGCACTAGAAGTGTATCGTTGATTTCAAATGCAGGAGTACCCTGCATACTGTGCCCTCGACGTCTGTTGCCACTCGTACCAACTACAGACGACTCATCAAAGAAATGAATTCGGCTGCAATCAATCAATCAAATAATTGCTATCCATAACGCCCGGCCGTTCTGTCTCTCGAGTAATTTGACCTATTATCTTGTAAGTGTAACCAAGATCTTTATTCAAAGTTCTACTAATGGATGACCTGCTAGGTATGTTTGCTGTAAGGCAAACTTTGTTATTTTCTAGTTGTTGCTGAATCGCTTTTGCGTAAATAGATGGTTTATTAATTTTTAGATATTCAGTGTATGCAATAATGTCATTTGTACGCGTGGTTCGAACATCAAGTTTGCTCTGGCGAGGTGCAATAGAGCCAGTGTTTATCCATAGATCTATTATATTTGATATAGTCTTATACGGTAGGTTTAATTGTTTCGAAATGTTTGTCAAACGCTCGTTATTTAACCACATTTCAAGTATTTCATTTCTTACTTCTATTGGTAAAGGTTTTCCTTGCTTACTGAACGGATCATTGTCAACTGTCTACAGGGTACATGGACCTTTCGCGTTTGCTAGTACTTCGCAACTTTAGTTCACAACTTCAGTACTCAAGTACAAAACTTGTGAACTTAAGTTGACAAGCTCATAACGAACGTTCCATATTTGGAAATGTAATTGGCAACATTAGAAAATAACTTGGCAACCGCCATTTGAAAAGTTAACTGAAATCGACACTAAGGAACGATAAATAACTCTTTATAAACAAAGAGATAGTTTCTACTAACACAATTGATGTTCCTATCTGAAACAAGCAAATGGATTATGCAAATTAACAGTAATATGATGCGATAAGTCGAAGTTCATGCTACGATCGTGGTTTTTGCAAGCATCTACTTTTATTCTTCAAGAATTGCTACCCTCACGTCAATGCTAAACCGACCATTTAAAATTTGTATTTTAAAATCACCTTCTTATCGTCAAAGTATATAATATAGATAAAAATAAGATTTGGCGGCTCTCAATTTTCACCAAAACTTTTCCATTTGTTTAAAGCTCGTTGACTGGTCCAGTGGAGAAGTGCAAAAAGATAAAACACCTCATGCAAATGGCTGAAGACTTTCTTCGAAGCTTAAGCTACAATTCAGTTTAAATAACTGCAGTGCAATTCCCATGATGAATGCATAATTTAGTTTTATTCTTGTCTTACTAATGTCGAAGGACTTCATTTGTTATTTTAGTCCCAACGTGTGATTGCAGACCACCTCTATGTGTTGAGTAACTATATTTTTTATAAAACACCTAGCTAAAATGAAATCATGAGAAAATTTGAAAATTTAGATTCCCTGGACGGCTCGAAACGACCGACGGCTCGATTCATGCTGTTGCTTGTTTCTATAACATTTCTTTATTTTACTTTACGAAAGTATTTACAATAAAAGTTATGCTTTGTTTATTTCCCAATCCTACTAGTTCGAATATCTTGAAATGCTTAGCTTTAACTTTCGTATTAGCGAGAGCGTACCAGCGACCGATAAGATTTCCGTTTTAAAACAACAGTAACAGGAAAATGACCCCTATAGTTTATGTAAATAACATGAGCATTAAGCAAGCTTAATAACTTAACTTCCTTGACTATCATAGCGTCGCCATAAAATCTTTCAAAACCATTTCGAAATCTATATGACAACAAAACTACAAATTTCCTCACAGAAAACATACAAATGTTTACAGAAGAGCAGGAGAAGCTCCATTCGTTATTATGTTTTTATCTGACAATCACCGAAACATGACCAAAACATTTAGCATCTTATCATTCCATAGTAGATAGTAGCGTATGCTCTATTGCTAATTTCATAAACTCGCAAAAGTTGTTGATCTAAAACTTGAATTTTATTTCGGAAATGTCCGCATCATTCGTGGCCGCAAGAAGATTGATAATTAAGGGTATAAATTTCAAAGGAAACTAATAAGGCAAATCATGCATACATGAATATTAGCCATTCCCAGTGATTGATCTTCCTCTAGCCGTGAGATTCTCGCGTTTTACATGATTTACGAATATTCCATGCAGCTAAAGACATTATATTGGTATTAATAAATAAACCATTGAAAATGAAAAGCATGATGTTACTTTATCTTTATCAATCAATAAAACTAAACTGAAGTTGCACAAAAGCAACGCCTGTGTTCAAGATTCTTCAAATTTGTTAGCATTGGAAATACAAACAAATACAATGTGGAATCTCTTTCGAACACAATTTCCATATGTAGTTGGAGTTTGAGTGTGACAAAATGTAGCAACTTTCATCGATTGGTCCAAATCCAAACTTTAAAAAGATAGCAATTTCTTATACATACGTAGCATACGTAATAACATACGCAATGACATAACATATTTTTCCTACATTTTTCCTATATTTTTCACGTCAATAACATGCGTAATTGCAAAAATGCTACAGAAATCACTTCGTTTAAGGTAGTTGTTCGTCGTGTCAGAGTTATATGTTGCAATAATTGGTGAAGAATAAGTAAAATGCTGTGCACTTTATTAAATTTAAAATTCTTACGAAATAGGAACCTGCTGTGTCTTGATACCAACAGCATCACCTTCAAAAACTTGCACAGACATTAGAACAAATTTTTAGTGAACAATCTCCTCACTCTATTCGTCAGAGGTGCATGTAAGAGCAATGATATTTATAAATTTTTGCAATTAATGAATGAAAACGATTTCTTCAGTAGAAAATTTTTTATTAAGGAAAATAACCAAATACGCGAGCTCAACACAAACAACCACTTTGATTTATTATCAATGTCGTTAAAACTACATCTGTGTATAGGTCATAGCTATAGCCTATAGCTTTATGTTTTCTGTCAGTTTATTCTCGATTGTTTGTAGCTGGCCAACCGTGCCATTTTGAATGCTATTTTAAAATATTCCACTTCAAATGAAACTATTTAGAATATGCCATATATCAATAGCTACATGTAATCACAAATCATGTTGTTGCATGGGTAAGATTTGGCAAATTTACCTAGCCTAATCGATTCAACTATGTTCGACAAAAAGCCAGGTGCCAAAGCTCTTAATGATCACAAAAGTTAAAGTGATCTTACAGTGACCAATAGTAACATGACATTTGAGTCTGTTAACCTTTCAAAAATTGGGGCTGGTGTGATTATTTAACACTCAACATCTACAATGAACTATTTATGTTTACACTGTACATAAAGACTCTTTGCATTGCACATATACAAAATAAAACTGGTTTAGTTTAATTACGATATCAAGGCTAGAGAGACATTCGATCATTTCCTACAGTGGCATTACACTCAACAAATTAGACAAGGACTTATTATACACTAAACACTTGATGGTTTCTTTACCATAGGCCCTGCTTTGTCACTATGAACACGGCATTTTGTAACAATATGAGTGAAATGACCACTAAGATTTTAGATTACCTTCAGTTGAAAATAACCATATTAAACTACAATGATCATTTTGAAAATGCACGCCACATGTACAAAAATCCAAGTAAAAATACATAAATTTCACACGATGAATTGCTTGTTTGTGTAGATGAAATAATACCAATATCAACTAAAAGCCTATAAATGCAAAGTAAATGTGAATTAGGTTCAACAGAAACATTGAATACCGTACAAAGCAAGAGTAATGAAATTTATACACTTTTTAAGGACTTTCAAGAACATATATTTTGAAAAAGCAAGTGTAAATGTGTAAGACCTTAAATTGCATGCAAAAGCCGGCGCACACATTCTTCAACACATTACAAACTTAACAACAAAGAACTCTTTTAATGAATATAGAACAAATGATGCATCATGAATTTCACTTTAATAAATCCCTCCAATTATCAATCTTCCGACGGTCAATTATCATGCCGATATTTTTCCTAAACGGAATTTGACTTTTAGATAAAAAATGTTTGCAACTTTATCACACTAAATAACAAGAGAGCATTCGTGACCATCAACGATGTGAAAAATGAAAAGCTACTCTCTAGGTATGTATGTGGGATAGAATGCTGCATTTTCAGTCATGTTTCCGTGGTAGTTAAATAATAACATACATAACGAACAAAGTGTTCGAAGCGCTTATGAAAAGATTTGTACATGTTCTGTGAGAGGATTTAATGTTTTCTTGTCGTAGAGATTTCTAAGTGATTTTGAAAGTTTTTGGTAGCGACTGTTTGTTTTTTAGGGCAATTTAATTAATTAGGCTTTCATAGATAACATTGATTATGAATGATGAGTTCGCCAAGCTTGTTTCGAACCGTTTTTAAGAGTTTTTGTGCCAACATTTTGATAGTAAACGTAAGTAAAGTAACTTGTTTTAATTGATGTTCAGCAGGGGTCACTTCTGCTCTTACCGTTGTTTTGAAACGGAAATCGTTTATTTTGCCTTTGTGCTCTCTGTTTTACAACAGTTAACATGAACAATTTTCAGCAACCTGTATTTTTTTACGTAATTGCAACAATTTTACGGAAATTACTCCGTTAAAGGTAATGGTTGGTTGTATTAGTGTATGATGAAATATTTATTAGTGAACATGAGTACGATATTCACTTGAATAAATTAAAATTCTTTAAATAAGAAGAGCCCGGTGGGGCTTTTCATTGCGATTGTTCGTTTATATTTAGGGAGGGACTTGTAGAGGGCGTATATTTAGGGAGTGTCTGAAATGGGAAAATGACTAACAACCATTCAATCAATAACTCATCGTTAATATCACAGAACTGCATCTTTATATATGATTTACATTACTCAGTCAGTCTAAACTGGATGGTTCGTAGCCAGCGCCCTCGGCCAGTTCAAATCATGCCATTTAAAAAAATTAATTTCTAATGAATTAAACTATTCAAATTATGCTATTGCACATTTTTATGCGACTAGTTTATTTTATCGTATTATATTAGGTTGTGTGCTTTTTGCAAATATTTTAAAAGATATAATCAATCATAGTGACCCAAAGAAGCGAATATTTACCTTCTGCTTGACAGTTTGATTATAAATATTTCACAAAATGAAGACTAAAGCGTAGTCCAGTGCCCCTCTGCAATCTTGGGATTTTTTAGGACAAAATATAGCCCGTGACTTTTACCAGCGACACGCAGTTATTAGTCAGGTTCTATTTCAACTTTTCCTATTTCATCAAATGATTTTATTCCCCATTACCCGATTAAATTCTTTAAAATGGAAATTACCTTTGAAGGTATTTCGCAACAAGCCAGAGGGTGAAGCTGAGGAATTTTGACTAAAGGGCGTAATTTTATTTAGTTTGCATGCGGTTCAGCTGGCTATCTTCCAACCAATTTCAATACCGATATATGTTAAAACTGCAAGTCAACAAAATCTTTCACAGTTGGAGTAAGAATCATTCTATCAGGAAATCAAAATCCTTTAGGTATTGTAGAAAATTTATCTTCGCTGAACTATTTATGTTTATACTGTACATAAAGACTCTTTAGCTACATTGCATAAAAACAAAAAGGTTTATTTTAAGATAACAAGACTATAGGGACACTAGATCATTTCTTACAACGGAATTTCAATCAACTTTTCCTATTTCTACAAATGATTTTATTCCTCATTACCCGATTAAGTTCTGTAAAATATTAATTATCTTTGAAGGCATTGCGCAACAAACCAGGGGGTGATGCTGAGGAATTTCGACTGGTGGGCGTAATTTTATTTAATCTGTGGAAAAGATAGTCTGATAGTCAAAAACTAAAATAGTTACAAAAAGAGCCACTCTATCAGGGAATCAAAGTCCATTAGGTATTGTGGCGAATTTAGGGCCTACTTTGGTAAATGGTGACATGCAGTTTAAAACACCAACATTTAAAATATGCATTAAAAACCAAATTTTACTCCACGGAAGAGCGTGTATAAACTATTGTAATTTTTGTATTATAATAAGCACAGAACCTAAAAGCGAGCAAAACAATTTTCGTTTCAAAAATAACAGTAGAAACAAAAATATCTCCAATAGCTTTTGTAAAATAACTGAGCATCACGCAAGCCTAATTATTTAACTTGCCCTGACGATCAAACAGTTGCCATGAATATCTTTCAAAATCACTTCCACATCTATATAACAAGGAAACACTAAATCCCCTTACAAAAACGCGAAGATTTCGTTCAATATTTTCGTGATTATTCCGCAATCAGCGAAATGTGACTAAAACACTTCACATCTTATCGCTCTGTACTACATTGTAACTTTTCATTTTTTATATGGTGGATAATCGGGAATGCTCTTTTGTCAAATAAAGTAGCAAATGTTGTGATTGAAAACTTCAATTTTCTTTAAAAAATATTGATATGATTGATGGCCGTAGGAAGATTAAAATAGGAAGATTCGTGTTCAAAAATGTATGTTATAATCCGCATAAAACAATGAATTTCAAAAGTAATGAAAACAGCATATCCTGCATATATGAATATCATATGCCAATCATCAATCTCTCGCGATCCAGCGATTTTTTTAGTTTTACAGCCGGTGTAATAAAAGACATTATACAGGTTATTAACAAGTAAAACAATTAGGCAAAGTAAAGATTGAAGCAAGATGTTACTTAACATTGAAGTGCTAAATCAACATTAAAATCAACTGCTTTTGAATAAAACCATCGCATGTGTTCAGGCATTCTTGGTATTTTTTGTTATGAAATTCAAACAAATACAGGGTGTATGATCTGACCAATGGTAATGAAATCACTCCATGTAAGGTAATGGTTGGTGGTCAATTTTTGGTGTTGCAATAATTGTGGAACAATAAATATGCTATGCATTTTACTAATTTTAAGCTTCTTGCGAAATATGAGCCTGCTGTGTTTTAACGTTCATGTTGGGGGAGGGACTTATGCACTCATAAAAGCATTTGCAACGACACAAACAGCCTCACTTTAAAAGACTTGCAGAGATATCGGGACAGATTTCTGACGAGAACAATCTTCTCACTCCAGCCAACAGAGGTGAGTGATAAATGTACATATTATATTTATAAATATTGCAATAAACGAATGAAAATAATTGCTTAAGGAACAATGAATATGATGTAGGAAAATGACTAAAAACCATTCAAAATAAGCAATCGGTAATTTATCGTGGATATCACAAAACTATATCTTTATGTCATTTATGTTACTCTGTCAATCTAAACTTAATGGTTCGTAGCCTGTTCACACTGCTATTTAATATCAGGTTACTTCAAAAACAATTTCTAATAAACTATTTAAATATTCAATTTATGTTGTTGAAGCCATTTCTAAATTTATTTTATTATAATAGGTTATGCTTTTTACAATACTTTTTAAAAGATATAATTAACCATACTGACCGAAAAGAGCGAATGTTCACCTTGTGCTTGGCAGTTTAAAATATTTAATATTTCACACAATCAAGACTAAAGCCTAACCCAGTACACATCTAACATCTTAGGATTTTTAAAAACTTTCACGCAACCTAACGTGATTTGAACATCCGATGGTTCCTGTGACACGCTATTATTAGACTGCTCTGATTCGTTCTACTTCATTAAATGAATCTCATCCTCATTATCCGATTAAGTTCGATTTAATGTAAATAATTAAACCACTAACATTCGAATTTCGTATTAACAGTAAAATGTTACTCAACGCATCCGAAAGTCAGGATGTGCGCGTTTCTTTTTAACTATTGTTTATTAAAAGAGAACGGAACCTAGAAGCTAAAAACGATTTCATTTCAAAACACCAATTGTTGATGTATTGATAAATTAGTACATTCAAGGATAAACATTGTTATGGTTAATACTTAGGGACATAAGAGAACATTAAATGAATTTCAAGTGATCAAAACGTATATTGATGCCACCAAGTTATATTGTTCCTTATCTAAAGCAAACTTTCTTTCTTCAATAAACGTAACTATTTCATTAACAGCTAACACCAGTACAAGCAAAAATATCTCTTAAAGTTTTAAGCAAATACATGAGTATCGTGCAAGCCTATCAGCTCAATTATTTATCCTGCCTTAACGATCAAAGAGTCGCATAAAAACTGCCGAAATCACTTCAAATTCTCTACGACAAGAAAACACAAAATCCATCACCGAACGTAAACAAAACTTTTCAGAAGTGCAGTCAACATTTCGTTTGTCATCTACCGTAAATGCTCGATTCAGCGCCGCGGTGCTCACCTAATTTCATTTTTCTGAGTGCGGCGCTTATCCGGGAGCGGCGCTTAAGTGGGCGCCTAGCCCTATTTAAATAATTTTCTACTAAAGGCTCACACCAAATATTTTTATTGCCCTCCAAAAATGATAATTAGACAAAATCTATTTACTTCATACAATAAATCAAAATCAAAAATCAAAAAATTATTTAATATTAATACATCTTGCAGTTTTTACAACTGAATTACATGTATTATACACAATTATTACTTATAGTTACCATAATACAGTTATTTACATTCATTAAGATTAATAATAGTAAAACTTAAATGAAGTTAAATTAAAGATGTATTACATAAGCAGATTGAATGTACAACCTATGGGCAACGTACAATTTAAAAGATATGTTCGTTTGAGAAATTCGGAATAAAAGAGTTTTTAAAACAATTTGTGCAATATTTAGTTGCATTAAATGTTTTATTTGTCTTTAGCTGATTATAAATGCTATAAGTTCTTTGAGATAATAAATTGTAAAGTTTGTGATTCTTATCCTTCACTATATCATGTTTGTAAATGTAGATCGTCCAGATTGGTATAGTCCTGAGAAGGACTGTTTTGTTTGTTGACTGACGTTTCGACAACCTTAGCGGTAGTCATCTTCAGAGTCAAATGAGGAGTAAACGTCAAGTTAGCTGTATTTGTTATGTGGTTCTTACGTCATTGTATTATGCGTACAGGAAATGTGTATTGCCATTGTGAATTAGTGTTAAGTGAAATGTTTTAGTTGATCGTTTGTTTGATCACACTAATTCACAATGACAATACAGAATTGACACCCACACATTACAACTAAAAACATCACACCCAAATCACTCATCACAACTAAAAACATTTCACTTCACACTACTTCACAATAACAATACACATTTCCTGTACACATAATACAATGATGTAAGAACAAGATAACAAATACGGCTAACCTGACGTTTACTCCTCATTTGACTCTAAAGATGACTACCGCTAAGATTGTCAAACGTCAGTCAACAACAACAAAACAGTCCTTCTCAGGACAATACCAACCTGGACGATCTACATTTACGAACATGTAACGATACTCCCGAGTTCAAACCATTTACTTCACTATATCATTAAAGAATCTCCTACTGAGAGATTTACGTCTGTCAAATAGGATCGGAATCAGGGGCGGATTCATAAATCGTCGGAGGCTCTCCGCACCTCAGGAGGGGTCCGAGGCATCCTCCCCTAGGAAATTTTGAATTTCAGAGCCTTGGAAATGCCATTTTCAGCGTTGTAGAGGAATACAAAATGTATTTTGTGGGCATCGTTTTTGCGTAGATACAAAACATTTTGCTTACGTTTTTTTCAAAAAAAATGAAGTGAATAATACTTGAATGCTTTGCCAAATATTTAGGCTCATTATCTTGCCAAAAATATGGCTAAATAGCATGTCTAGGAACATAAAATTTAATTTACAATAATGCTATTCCAAAAAAGATATTGTTTTTGAAAATTTCTACCAAGTTGTCAGGTATAGACCACCCTAGAGACCTCCATTCAAACCTCTATATAATAAGTTAAGTTAGAAGCTTGGTACTAAAAGAGACAGTTCATAGATGTAGAAAAGCTCAGACTTCAAACCAGGCAAGTTTATTGTAACCCTTACCCATCTCCACATACAGGGCAGCAAATTCACCTTTTGAGAAAAACTCAAATTTTTTCTGCCAAAGATTAAGAAAAATTATCAGAGTGAAAATTTGCTATTAAGGACAGCTTTATGTCATTAATGTTTATTAGGCATCTCACTAGACTGTTATCTTCTGTAAGTAAATGCAAGGTGTGCTATATAGCAATCATCAGTAGCATTGTATTTGCCAATACAAACAGAATGCAACCAACATGCCTTCCATCATATAGTTACATGAGTGTTAAAGTTGGTTCATGTGTTATGCTTACTTGTTATGATAAATTTCCAATAAATATATGATCAAAGCTAGTTTGAATGTAAGTCTGAAATGATTTAGTTTAGAAATTATAATGACCATCAGAGAAATTACCTAGTGATCATGAAAAATACTTTGCTGTTTTACCAAATTTTGAGGTTTATCTGCATGTATAGGAACATATTTTTACTTTATAGAAAATGTTTTCATACATAAATAGCCCATTGGAATTTATGGCAAACAATCTTGTATGAGCTGTAGATCAACACACCTTGACATCTCTACATGAGATGTTCAGTTAGAAAAGGGACAATATGTGACAAGGGACAACATTTCATGTATGTGAAATAATTAGTTTAATACCATTCCAGTCAAATCATCAAAATAAAAGTTTCGTGGATCAGAAAAGACTCAAAATCACAGGTTATAGCAAACAGCTTCTCATGTAATCAATGTTAGTTTTCTCATATCTTAAACAATGTGTAGTATAACAGTCTAATGATTGAATGATAAATGATCATAAAGTGTAAAGCCCCAAACATTTGTTTATGATAAATTAAATAATAGTATGGCACCCTATGGCTATAGATTTTTTGTCCATTGAAATATGTTTGCAGGAATGTAGGATGTACCCACAGCTTTACACACTCGCATAAATTGACTTTGATATTTTACATTTATGCATACACTTCAGTTGTCCGTTACTTATGACTTTGGATGTAAATTTCTGCTGAGAAAACTCAAAACAATGTTGGCTTGCTTTTGAACATCATTTACTGAAATGTCGCTTGCGAGATCGTCTTTGCCAAGCATTTACAATTCATCCATAAATTTTTCACCCTCTTGAAAAAATTCACAGTTTGGATACCATAATTCATGTCAATGTATGAATTTGTACAAGATTTCCATAAATTCCATCTGAGTGTAGTTTAGTTTTTATCATGCTTTAGAAAATTACTATGAAACGATCAAACATTCAATTTAGACAGTGAGCTTGAATACGTTAGTTCAGTTTGCTATCAATCAAAATCGGTCAAACCAATCATAGTAAGACAAAATTTAAACGAACCAATTACACGATAGCAATCAGACTCTCTTATCGGTCCAGCCACCCCACTTATCGGTCGAGATTATTCCAGATCATCCACTGATCTGGCTATTCACCAATTGAATGGCTTAAATAAGCGCTATTGAACTCCATTATCGGTCGAACCAGTCGAGCCACCCGACTTATCAGTAAGCCAATTAATATAATTCTAGATATGTTTTTATCTACTGATCTGTTTACTAAGGTGGTGTTTGTGTATGTTTTCATACATAAAACAGAATTTTGACGATGAAATCGAAACGATTACAGAACGAAAATTTAATGACCAAAAAAAATTGTAATGATTAAATTTGATAAATAATTTTTGAACTATAAACATAAGTCACGTGAGTGATTTGACATACCCTAGATCCGCCCCCGGTCGGAATATAAGCTGCTGTTAAGGCATCTTTATAATGTGCTCAGGAAATATGATGCCCATGGCTCTCTTTTGTAAACGCTCTAAATCATCAGATAGATATTTTGGTAGAGCAGAGTGAAATACTTGGCAAGAGTACTCAAGAATTGATCTTATTTTAGCGCAGTAAAAACAAACAAGGTCTTTTTTATCTACATCAGCCCGTTTCAACTGCTTAATGAAATATAGACGTTTTGCTGCCTTTTTAGTGATAACATTTATGTGGTCGTTCCATTTCAAATCATTTCTTATTGTGAGTCCCAAAATTTCAACATTTTGATATCTACATGTTTGTAAATGTAGATCGTCTAGGTTGGTATAGCCCTGAGAAGGACTGTCGTGTTGACGGTAGTCGTTTTCAGAGTCAAAAAGTAACGATATTCCCTGGTTCAAACCATTTACTTTATTTTGAGCTCTTTATAAAGGTTGATCATCGATTAAGATTTCATCAAACGTTGCAGTAGTTTTCTGAAACATATGAAAATTTCTTTACATTTCTTTTGATTAAGGGTGAGTTTATTTTGATTGATCACTTAGCAATGTGGTTGATTTCTTGTTGTAGATAAGTTTTTCGATCATATGAAATTAGTTCTGAAGTAGTGGTGTCATCTGCAAATTTCCACATTATTGATTCTGTTTTTCCATATATTTCTAAGTTATTGATCATGGCTAAAAATAGCCATGGTCCTAGACATGTTCCTTGAGGCTCTCCTGCAGGGACGTTTTTCCAATCGGACACACACTGATTGAGTTTTACTCTTTGTTTCCTGTCTCTAAAAAAATCAATCAGCCAGTTAAAGGTTCAAGGTTTGATCCTAAGACTTAAAAGCTTGGCAATTAGGAAATTATGACCTATCATATCAAACGCTTTTATAAAGTCTAGGAAAACAGCTCGAGCTGTGACGGCTTTTCCGTCAGTCATTTGTAGCCAATGATGAATCATCGATATGAGAGCATGGGTAGTTGATGATTTAGGGATAAAACCATATTAATGCTTATCATTGCATCTTAAAATGATTGGTTTTATATCTTTTTCAATAACAAATTCTTCTGCAATTTTGGATAGAGCAGAAGTAAGTGATATCGGTCTCAAATCTTGTGTAAAAACTTTAACAATTGATGCCTTGGGCAGTGGGACGACATCGGCAATTTTCAACATCCTAGGAACTTGAAAATTTCGGAAAGACACATTTAAAATTGGTGTGATTGGTAACGTGAGAATATCTGCATAGTCTTTCAGTATCCAATTAAGTAGACCATCACGAACGCTGGCCTTTGAGCGACTAATTTTTCTTAACTTTTCAACAACCTCGATTTCATCGACTTTGATAGACTGGTCGTTCTCATCCATAGACACTTATGCCTCAGTAGATAGCGGAGAATATTCTTGCATCACATTTATAAAGGATTCGTTGATTTTATCACATAAAATTTTTTCATCGTTATCTAAATCTGTAGATAACATGTCTTAAAGTTTTTTTTGGTTCAATTTATAGTTTCTACACAGTTGTTTGACCTCTTGCCACCACTTATTAGGTTTTACATTTCTAAGGTTTTCAACTTTAGACTTATAATATACTTTTCGAATGCTTTTCTATTCTTTGTTAACCATGTTTCAAAGAACTTTAAATAAGGCAGCGTTTCCGGACAAAAATGCTTTTTGGCGTTTAGAGATCAGTGTCTTTAGATGTCTAGTCATCCATGGACGATCATATTTATAAACCTTGAGGGAACGTTGGGGCATCATTTTATTTAGTCCGTATTTAACGATATCTGTCATTATTTCGATATTTTGGTCACATGTATATTCGTTGGATAGCATATGGGACCATGGGACAGCAATTGAAAATCTGCCAATACTAGCCTTTTTACTTTGTCGTTATACTATTGACTGAGATTGGCAAGAAACGGTACGTTCTTTTGGTTTGACTTTAATTGTCACATGATCCGAGAGACCAAATGGTGACGCACTAGTTGGTAGGTTACAATACTTATTTAGGTTTGACAAAATCTGATCAAGAGTATTTGGTCCTCGGGTTGGAAAACTGACCATTGGGTTTAGCTGGAATAATTTTACAGTGCGCTTCAATTTTAGTTTATTGAAATCACCGGCAATAATAATTGCACTATTGGGGAAAGATGACTCGAGACTTTCCAATGTATTTTGTATGTGTTAAATCATACAATCATTATCTTCTCCCGGGGGATGATAGACTACACCGACTATAATTTGATGAAACCCTCTAAGTAAACGGTGAGGGCGAAGCATGGCCCACTATTCTTCTTCACTTTGCATATCTGAAAGCTGGCGGCTGAATATTGATGACTTTACGTATAAGCAGACACCTCCGTGCAACTTTTGAGCTCGATCCCTTCTTAGCAGTTGATAATTAGAAATGCTAATTGCTTTGTTTGGAATTGGTTCCTTTAACAAAGTCTCTGTAAACATAACAACATCAGTGTCTGACATCAATATGGTATTCGCAATCTCGTCAATTTTAGGAGCAATTGACGTTGTATTAGACAGTAATAAGGAAGGTACAAATTCATGTTTGTGAGCATTTCGTAGAACAGAAAAGTCGGAAGATCTTTTGATGTATATCAAGTTTAGTGGGTTTATTACAGCGTTTTGACCTTCAAGTTCTTGTGGACATAGTTCAGCCATCCCCTCCACTTTTGGCTCCAAATAGTATAAAAAATAAAGGTTCAAGGCATAAAAGGACGACAATTTACTTTATTTGATATTCTGTTGCCAATAATGGTGTTCATTCTCTAGGTTTTATAGACTTCACGAGGTTCATAGTTATTGTTTCTTTGTCTGTTATCTTTATATTTTCTGAGCGTAGGATATCTTATGGTATTGGGCTGACTTAGATGGGTATTGCTATTGACTTCAAAAGCTAATTTATTTTCTTGGTGCACAACATATTGTTCTTTTGTTTCATAAGATTCCTCATTTACTCTTATTAATCTTATAGAGCTGGTGTTTATTTCGTTGGCCTTTTTGGTAATGTAATAGCTGTAAATGGAAAGCCTTAATTTTAAAAGCGGTTGAACTAGTCTTTTCCACAACAGTTTTACTTGGGTAGGCTATCGCAGTACAAACAAAACAGTTCTCATTTCCCTCAGTTGGCTCGGTTTGTGATAGACATCCTAACCACGCACGAGATTTATTTCTCATTGGCTAGACGCACGGGTGGGTTTTTATGTTGGAATCAATCTTATGGGGTCATTAAGCGAAACAGTTGCAGTTTCTCCTTTGTTTGTATGCTGTATTTGATGAAAATCAATGTTTATCATAGAAGTAATATTTGGGAAGGGAGTTGACTGATTATGCATAACACATTGATTCGGAGTACTTCCCTCAATATGGACGCTGGACACTTGGCCAATCTCATCATTGCTTATTGCCATACCATTTACCGATTCCAAGTTTGTTTCATACCTTAATTTAAACTCAGCCAAATGGACAATCGTTTTCTTAAAGGAAACAACCTCCAACTGTAGCCATTCAGATTTCTTTTTTTCGTCAGCAAGATCCCATGCGATGCACACGTCAGAACGAGTACTTTTAAAACGTCGAGATTGATCTCCAGGTAAAGTTCATTGGCCTGGAACCATAAGATTAGTTTTGACAAATTCTTTCAATAATTCTAAACTATTTGTCCATTTCACTCGCCCCCCGTCATACGTTATGTTTAAATGTGCATTATTACAGCAAATAGATTCTTCATTCAATGCCTACAGGATGTTATTCCTTAAATTAACATTGCTAATGTTAGAGGGAGTAGTATCACAAACCGCCATTTTGAAAGTCCAATACAATATAACTTGACAAAAATTTCACATAGGTGTGCAACAAAAAACTAATGTATTCTTTTATTACCAAAATTATACTTTATCAATATCTGAGATGTAGCGCTTAACCGGGAGCGGCGCTAAATAACTTTCTTAAATTCTGATTGCAGCGCTAAAACAAGCATTTACGATATGTGATTATATGACCAATCACAGTAAACGCGACTTAAACATTTGAAGGTCTCATACACATAACTAAGCCGTAACTTTTCATTTTTTACATAGGATAGTCAGTGTTACTTTAATAAAGTCGCAATAGTGTTGATATAAAACTTGAATTTTGTTTGAGAAAAGGTCGGCATGATTGATGGCACAGTTTTATCCACTCTTCTTTGAGATAATTGGAGGAATTGATGTCACTGACCTTGAAGTAAGACTGGATCAAGCATTTGGCACAAAAGTTGAAGACAAAAATGAAGGGACCAACTTTTGAAAATGCACAGCAAATATATTGTAGGGCAATTATCTTGCATTGGAGGGCAATAAATACGAGAACAATCCAGACTTATCAACATGTAATGAACATAACTAAGGAGTCAACCAGTTTATAGAATTGCCAGAAATGTGATGAAATATGATGAAATATGATGAAAATGCAGCGATTTTTGTTTTCGGTACTGCGAATATAGAGTTGCTTAATCCAGTCTTATATATAACATCAAATAACAGTTATATAACATACTATGCAACATCATATCACATCACATATAATCATAAGGCTAATAGTCATATAAAACATTATATTTCAAACTAATTGATTGCGGTATATCCTGCATATATGAATATCAGCCATTCTACCAATTTGCATTGATACAAACAGCATCATTTTGACAATTATGACAACTGACCAAAACACTGTTTTGATTTCATTTTCCTACTGTGCATTGACATTAATAAAATTATCGCATGCCTTCCGAACAATAATAAAAATTTAAGACGTTGGTCAATTAAAACTATATTTTAAACAAAAGTATAAGTACCCTATAATGAAAGAAAAGCTACAAAAAGAGATGTCTTTAAGCGGAAAACTATTCTGGGCTTAATAGGTTTGAGAGTGTGAAATATGGCAAATCTTCACAAACAGGAGACCCTTGTGCTATGTGCAGGAACCATTAACAAAGATTGTTCCTGACAATGTTAGTAAATGAATGTAGCATCTTGCTGAGCTTTATATTATGGCAATTTCATTTGCGCGAATATAAACTAAATACAAGCAGTTTTTTTAGTGTCACTAGGCAAAGGATATTTTGTCGTTTTCTAAAAGGAACGTTTACATTCCTCATATTTGTTCGCGTTAGAAGAATTTGTTTCCGTATCTTAAAGACAGAAATCAATAACATACTTTGATGACTCATCCACGATAAATGCCATAGATTGCCGAATGCCCTGGACTGTGACATCTGTCACCATCGCAAAGATTGACTTTCTCCTTTATATGAAAGAAATTTCGAACTGATTTCAGTTACAATACAACTTTTGTTATAATGACGATGTTAATTTGCGTTGTGTACGATTTAATTTTAAAGTATTCATCTTTCGTTTTTAGTCAACTGCCCGATGCCGTTGGCAGTATTCATTGAGGCACTTAGTGAAATAGTTAATCAACTACTGCAATCTAACATCTTATGTTGTGTTGTTTTTTATCTTTCCCACAAAATAGCTCTCACTTGCTAATGGTTCATATTTCATGTATGTAAAAGATAAATAGACAAAATAGACATGCTATACTTTATGTGAGAAACACCAAAAACGACTTATTTTTTAAGCAAACATAATTAAGGGGAGCTCAATACAATATAATTCTAAGCATATATAATTCAAGTCAGCTGGCTAGTTTAATTTTTTTACTTGCCCTATATTCATGTTAAGTTAGCACTAAGATTTCTTTCTTATGTATTAGTAATAATTTCATTATAATAAATACGAGAATATTGTCATTCTTATTCGAAGTGAGGTCAGGGACCTGCTCTTCCAGGAGCCATCTAATATTTCCTTAGCTTGTAACTCCTGATCTTGGAAAACAAGTATGGAAAATTTCTCTGAGACTTTATTTTATTGGCTTCTTACAGCTTTTATTTTTATTCGTAGGGTGGAACTTAATATGAGATTCGTTAACAAAACTAAGATATTGCCGTGAGAAACTTGTTTCTTTCTCAGAAAGGAAGGTGTGGTTACTTAAACCTTGTCGTTAAAGAAAAAGACTGAGTTATTTTTGTGTATACACGTCATGAGCAAGGGAAAGGAAACATCAAAAAAAACAATTGACATACTGTCCTTAGATGGTGGAGGAAGTCGAGGTATATTGGAGCTGAAGATATTGGACGACGTTCTACGATTGGCGACGATTGTGTTAAGAAATCCTGATGATGTGAGCTGCCTTGTAGACAATGATGAAAAGGAAGTAGATTTCTTAAAAGATAGTAACGTTAGAGAGTTTCTGATTGACTTTATGGATGGAGTAGAGGATCCCATTCATCCCACCGATGTTTACGACATGATAGTTGGTACCAGTATAGGTGGTCTGATTGCGTTTGGTTTGGTTGGTGGAAATAAAATTGGTGAAGACGACAATGCAAGGGAACAAATGAGCGTGGATGAATGCATTGAGATGTATCGTAAAAAAATTAAAGAAATTTTCAAGAAATCGAGAATGCAAAAGTTTCTTTCTCATACCCCTAAGTTGTCGAACATTCCTTTTAAAACATACTCAAAAGCCAAATTAGAGAAAGTACTAAAAGATCAGTTTGGCGATTGTAAACTTGAAGATTTTAGAAATATCGACAATTTAAAATGTGTGGCCGGAGCTGTGGCTAAAAAACTTGGCAGCAAGCAAGAGCTGGTGTTGTTTGATACAGCAAACGAAGACTACAAACTTTACCCAACCTACCAAGTCCTGCTCGCAACCTCAAATGCTCCAATTTACTTTGATACTCCAGTCAGAATTGGCGATGATGAATTTGTAGACGGAGGCGTTGGTGGCAATTGTCCATTGGCACAAGCAATCCCCCAAGCAATGAAACTATTTGGAAAAGATGGTGAACACGTAAGAATAGCCTCTGCTTTATCCATTGCACCCCCGTCTTTGAAATTGAAAACACCGCATAGCTTGTCGACTTGGTTGCGTTATTTTGTCAACGAAGTAACTGATGGAAACGCTGTATACAGAAATGTTGTGGAGAGAAATGAACAAACTTTGTTTCAGAGGCTGTCGCCACGTGGTGAAAGCTTGAAAAAATTCAAGCTTGATGAAAGCAATGCTGAAAGGATGCTGGATGCCATGCAAAAAGTAAAGAGTGATGAAGCAATGTATATAGTTGACGTTGTCGCCTCTGCGATGTTTGTCGTTCTCACGTCCATCAATAAAGGACAAGAACCTGAAGAAAACTCTCTCACAGTTGCAGCACAGCTCGCTAAAGCTGCAGCACATGCATACCGATGCAGCGAAGAGTACGAGTCAGCAATTTCTTCGTACCAAACATGCAAAAGTATGCTAAGAGAAGACAGCAGCGATTTCATTATGATAAAGATTTCATATCATATCGCAACATGCCAAAAAGAACTTGGAAACTTTCAATTGGCAATAAAGTTATTTGAATCCAACGAAGACAAACTTCTTTGCTATTTAGGTGAGCCAAGTGTTGACCTTTTTTTTGATAATTTGATTCAAAAAGTATGCTGTTACACCAGTACATCTTATTTTAAATATGCAGAAAAGCATTTAGTTGATATCTTGTACAAATACAGCGATGATAACGAGAAGCATTTACTTGTCCATATCAAAGTAGCGTGGTGTAGACAACGACTTGGAAAACTTAATGAAGCTTTGAATACTTACAGAGAAGCAGCCAACTTCGTCGCTGACAACGACGTTCTTAACATGGCAGAAATCTTGAATGGCGTGGGTTTATGTTTTCTATATCTTGGAATGGTTACTGAAGCCTACCAGTTATTGTGCAAAGCTAAAGAATTGAGAATGAATTTAAGTGTAGGGGACAATTTAAGTCAAAACAAAAAAGATCGCCTTATAGCCGAGTCCCTTCACAATGTTGGACTTTCTTTGATAGAGAAGAAAGACTACAAACAAGCAATCAGTTTATTGAATAAGGCAAAACAAAAATTAAATGAAACCAATGACGAACTCAACATGGCCATGGTCTTGTCAAATCTAGCAAAATGCATGTCGTTAATAAAGAACCCAGAGCATAGCGATGCCTTGGCTTATGCCCAACAAGCTTTGGCAAAACTGAAAAAAATTGTCCATTTTGAGCAAAATCCTGGAATTGCAAGAGCCTTCCTACATCTTAGCGTGTGTCTTTCAATAAATAAAAAATTTAAAGATGCAAAGGAAAGCCTTTTAAAAGCTTTAGATATCATAAATCTTTTTTTGTCAGATAATCATCCTTGGTTATTAGACGTATACGAGCAGCTTAGCGAACTGTGTAGGAATGATGGCGAGCAACGAAAAGCGGACGATTACGATAAGGAATGGAGGATAATATACGGCAAGAGAAAAGAAAAGGCTGATGCAATAAAAAAAACAAGAAAAATATGGTGGGGTGACCCATCAGCAACTTTTTGATAACAAAGTAGAAATAGTTTAATCTCAGTTAAATAACTTAAGCCACGTTATACGAGGGTTCAAGTGTGCACGGTTTCTTTATGTACTAAAAATGTATAGTGTTTAAGCTCTGTAACAATGATAGTAATGGTAGTATCATATGTATTTTAAGTATTATTATTATTATTATTATTACTATTATTATTATTAGTAGTAGTAGTAATAGTAGTAGTAGCATTTACACTTATTTAAACACGGTAGTATCTCAAGCTGGATTCTGAAATATAACTACATAAAAATAAAAGGTTGATTTCAAGTGAAAATTCACTTTTGCTGTACCTAACACATTTTCTAATTGTTAAGTCAACTGTGGTAGTACTGCTAAGTCACCTGAGGCAGTATTTGAAGCCCGACAGTAGGTTAACGATGAACATGTGTTCACAATCCTGCTTCTATAAAGATATCGCAGGGTTATGAATACATTCTACAGCTTTGCTGTCATACATGCAGTGTATGTTTGAAAAATGGAGCTATATTTATTTACATTTGTGAGAAAATGAAAACACTCTCACAAACTTTTTGTAAAAAATTGAAAGAGATTAGTTAACAAGTACGAAAATCTAATTTGCAAAAGTGGAGTGCAATCATCCCCTTGAAAGTGAGTGAACAATGGAAATTTCGCATTTCTATCAATTCTATTTCTATATGTAATGAACATGTAGTTACGATTGAAGCAGGAAATTCAAAACTCTTAGCCAAACCCGTCGTAATACGATTTGCTCACGACGACAAGGTCAGACTAATTTTTAAAAAATCTTTCTTTTTGCCTATGACCATCATATAGTTCAATCAAAACGACCAGAAGTGTTTTATTCTCAATCGGGAAGGAAACACAACGCAATTTAGACAGTTGCCACTCGTCAAAAGATTTATGAAATGTATATACGACACTCGTTCATCATTAGCTAGATATTACTTAACTTGGGATGCTAACACCGCTTTGAATCATCTCCACCGCCAGAAAATCTAGGTATCACTTTCTATATAAGAACCATTCCCCAGCCTTGCTTTTCTCCTGCCACTCTTAAGTATGTGTGGTCACTCGGTTTTGCAAAATTTAAAACTAACGGCCCCACTACGTGGTTAAAATAAACAATTCCTTATCAGCTTTATCAACCCACATCAACCTAATTTCACTGACACTACTTAACACAGAGTTGAACGTTCTATGACAGATGCAGGTATGCACATATCTATATATACAAGTCATAGTACTAGGACGGCTTCAACTTCTCATCTTACCACAAATAAAGATATAATAGGCACCGCAGTATGGTCAAAGAATATACATTTCAATGCTTTCATCATTCAATACACAGAATTTTAATATGGGAACGCCGCTTTAGAAAACATTGACCTGATGTGCGTCTGTATACAGTTTTATGATTTGTTCATGTTTTAATTATAATGGTTTTTATGGTTATTTTATGAAGGCTTGTTTTTTGTCATTCGAAATATTGGTACAATGTCTGCTGCTCTAAATCTTTCTACAGCTACGTGACAATTACAGCAAATGACATGATAGAATTGTAAATCGAAAGAGACTTGTTTTAAGTTGTAGCTTGATTGCAATTCTATTAGTAATTAGCGAGAAGTGGAGGAGTTGTGGCCCACATATATCTTTCCCAGTCCCCTCTCATCCACTCCAGCCATCGTACCACTATTCGTGCTCTAAATACTGGTTAATTAATGCGCAGTGCTCTCTCTCCTACAAATCACCTACTCCTCAATAATGACCAATACTATTACAAGGCCCCTTCGATAGCCATTATACACAACCTTTCATAGCGGTAACAACTAAATGTGCTATATTGTTACTTTTACTGCATTTTCGTTAATAAAACGGTTTGTTTCAACAGTTGGTAAGTACAGTGGTAAAAAAGAACGATTCATTTATACTAATATTATATTGCTGTTCTTTATCAGAGTTATTCCAAAGCCATCATCAAAGAATATATAATATATTAATCCTAACACGGTTTTTAATATGCACATGAAAAACATGTGACTTGGACGAGATTTGAACTCGCACCTTTTTCATGTGCATATTAAAAACCGTGTTAGGATGAATTTATTACATATTCTCTGACGATGGCTTTGGAATAAAGTCGAAACACGGTGCCATCCAGTAAACTGCTATAGTGGCGAGAATCTCTCGCCCATACGCAATTTAAAAGAGATTTGACTCGTCTTCAATCCCTGTGGGCTTGGTAGCTCAACAGGTAGAGCGGCGGACTAGTATCACGAAGGTGCGAGTTTAAATCTCGTCCAAGTCACATGTTTTTCATGTGCATATTAAAAACCGTGTTAGGATTAATATACTATCAGAGTTAAACTAGCTTTTGTAGTAAAGAGTATTTTTTCAGTTCGGTTTTTTCATCTTCTATCTCGAAATGGACCTCGATCAAGCTATGCTACAAGTAGAACATATTTAAGGACAAACGTTTACCACGTGCCAAACTGGTGGTAGTTCAGGCCGACCCAGCCAATATGATGGTGAAGTTACATCAGTAGCGACTCAAAATTAGGTAGAAATTAACTGCAACATGAGCGAAATGGTCACACTCCATCA